ATAATAGGCTATTGTTATACTAAGACAGCACGATTTAATATTTAGGGCTTTATTACAACTTATCTTCAAATGACATTGTAGTCAACCACTAAATAATGGACAAAAATATTTTGGTTCTCCCAAACTTACTCATCAAAAGCAAAAAAATGTTAAGAAACAAGGTCTCACAACATCAAGGAAAATCAGAAAATCGTAAATTTGTAGTTATATTTTTTGCGTTTATCGTCAATTTTATTAGACCGATTCATGAGAGAACATTTTTTTACTGCAAAGTTACGCTTATCTTTCACTATCCGATTTAGCTTTTCGTTTTTAAAGCAATACTCGATGCTTACCTTTCTGATAGTTCTCAGGATGCAACGGAACCCTCAAGGCGCGAGTCCTACTCGCACTTGTCCAGTTTTGTTCATGAGTTATAAGTAAAGTTTATGCGTTATTCTGTGAGCTTATCCCATCGTCGATTTATATCATATTCCGAATACTTCACGTCTCTTCACGTTAGTTAGGAAAATTACTTGACTTTGCAATAACCTGCATAATAATGCAACGTAATCCTAGAATGCACATTAAGTTTTAGCTTTATAGGAGAACTACATACGGATAGTAAACACGGGAAATAATATTTATCTCAAGAAATTAAATTTTAAACTGTGCTATGAGGCGCCGAAGGCGACCTAAATAACTGATACGATTTAATAACATTCATTTTCCCGTATATGTTCTGACTAAAGGTGACTAACGAGCACACAGTCTACCGGATGGTATGGTAAGTCTGGGGGAGTTCGGCCATAGTTTTCTAAGAAGCCATTAAAATTAAAAACTACAGAGATCATTGAATAAAATTATTTTTACGGATTTTATCGCGTTTAATTATACTTATTTTTAAATTCGAGACCTTTTGGGTGCTGAGCACCCATGGTCACGGGGGACTGAGGTGATCCCGATGTCAGAGTTAATACTACAAAGATTAATTAACAAAAATCAACTTTTAATTAAACTTTCGACATTAAACTCTTAGAATATTACATTAAAATATTGAACTTGAACATAATCAGTCTTACAATTTACTTTTTTTTCCAATCTAAATTGGCCATCTCTACCGGGCACTACGGGAGAGATGGACATAGTAGCAAGGGAGAGATTACCAAATTGTTAATCTGCATTTTAACCACTCTTTTCCTTCAGGTTTTTGAGTCTTAGCTCTTTCTTCTTTTCTGTCCACAACATCATGAATGTTTATCATCAAACTCTACTTCCATTCCCAATACGAGTATCCTCTGATTACTCACTGGGTAGTCTCAGTATTATGTTGTTAATAAGATTGCCGAAATAAAAGTATTATTTATTTATTATTACTAAACTCGTTGCAATTTTCATGTACGTACCCAGTTGACATAAAATGCATTGGAGCCAGTCTTTGATGAGATGTGTTTTATAATAATGTTCTCCACTGCCACACAGTTGTCAACTTCTCTGTTTCTATCTTCTTCATCAGACGAATCACATAATATCGGTTCTTTATAGTCATCACTACTGTCAGATTACTTTGTTAATGATTTTATTGCAGTTTTAATGTGATTAGCGAGTTTTTTCTCATTTTCTTTGCCGAATAGAGATGATGGTCCCATGGATCCTTTCTTGTCGTTATTTCACTTGTATCGTTTTTCTATACTCGTTATAGAAGCTAGTGTAGATAGTCATTTTATCTTCAAACAGCGTCCAAAGTTGTCTTTTTTTATAAGATAAGGGTGACAAACAAGTATACAGTTCACCTGATGGTAACTGGTTGCTGTAGCCCATAGATATCTACATCTATCCTCGATTATAAATTAAAATGTAGATGCGTCCCCACCCGTGAGGACTAAGATGGAATGCCTCGGTTCCAGTAAAAAGGGTCTCCGGTTCCCTACACTCACCATACGAAACACAGCAGTGTTAAGCTGCTATTTTACGCTGGTATTCTGTGAGAGCGTGGTCCTTCCCCGGTCGAGCCGACCCATTCGTGCTACAAACATACCACTAATATAGCTGCAGCATGGCTCTACCGCGCCAAATAATTGTTCAATCCAGTTCCTTCGTGAGCTGACTGCATTTCTTTGGCATCTAAAAATAAAATACTGTAATTTATTACTAAAACATAATTAGTATAAAATTGTTATATATAATGCAAAATATTTCAAGTTTAAATAATACAGTTTTCAATATTATGGCCATCTCATACCGACCATGTCTCTCCTAATCACCCGGGATAAATGTCCAAACATTATTTGTAAAAAAAAATATAAATAATGTATTTACCTACATCTTCGATTAAGAATTAAAATGTAGATGCGTTGTCACCTCTTAGGACTAAAACGGAATGCTTCGTTACCAGTAAAAATTGTCTCTGGTTCTTAACCTTCACGCTGGTATTCTGTGAGAGCGTGGGCCTACCTTCCTTTAGTTTATTTGGCGCTTGACTATCGTATGTAGATAATATGATAAAATGCTTGTTAGTAATCTGTTTAAGTACTCTGTTCCTGTTTGCCAAATTTGCGTGCATTTCTTAGAAAGTTTATTTATATTTACCATGCTGGTGGGTTGATGAGCCAAGATTGCATTTTACTGTAAGAATGCTTCTCTCTATTGTTATAGTTAAGCCATTCCCTGTCCTGTGACCCAAATATGGTTCATTGCTATTATCTTACTATTATGTCTGAAAATCGGACAGTAAGTGTTAAGTTTATACTTGTCGATTCTCGTCCGGCACGTCAATGATAATGTTCTGATATTATGTTGACTAAGTTAAGGCTTAAAAATAATAGTCAGACTCATGCGATAAGATCTGATTAAGTTTTATTATTATTACAGTCATTCACAAGTCCACTGGTGAACATAATCAGAGGAATGCCACAAAGCACGATCTTGAGTCAGCTGTATCCATCGATTTCCTACATATCTTACCAGGTCGTCACACTCCATCTAGTGGGGGGTCGCTATATACTTCGCTTATGCCTGTACGAGGCTGCCACTCGAGAAATTTTTTACCCCATCAGTTGTCGGTTCTTTGAGCTATATGGCTGGTCTTCTACGCAGTGTTATATACTCAGACACTAAATACTCAGACACTAAAAATTTATTTACGTTTCTGCTCAGATGTCTATATCGGACTGAATTTGTAAACATTTGTTACTTTTAGATTAACCGCAGTAATACTACTCTATCATAATGTTGGATGCTATAATGTCCCCGAGACCGAATTACAGCCAATTGTAGCCAGTCACAACGGCGACTAGCTATCTGTGCAAGACAGAATTGTGCACAAGTGTGTGCACAAACACAGGTGCACTATCTATTCCATTACTCTCATCGTTTGATGGGACGGCAATCCAAAACGGCCGGACAGAAATCAGGCGCAGGACCAATGGCTACTACTGAATTTTTTTTCACAAAAAAACCCAATAACTGTTTTTTGCCCGACCCGCGATTCTAACCTGGGACGACATGATCAGTAGTCGAACTTACAATCAAGACCAATGAGGCAGTCAAGGATACTATAGTACACACTTGAAATGCGAGAATTGTAAGTAAATGACCACTCCAGTGTGCATGTGCCACAATAATATTATATCTGAGTAGATTTAGAAGCAATTTTAACGTCAACATTGTATTTTTCTTTTTCTTTTTTTCTAAAAACGTTACTTCCATACTAGGATTTACTCCTGTATAGTGGAGGCAGTTTACAAACACAAATTGCACAAGGACAATCATCCAGACCTGGAACAATTATATGTAGACCATACAAATACTTGTTCCGTGCGGGATTCGAACCCGCGCCCCCCAGTGCAACAACTCATTGCTAAGCCACAGCACCACAGAGCCGTCATAAGTGTCAACGTCATAGTGTATCGTATTGCTTTAAATATCCATCTAGTTAATGTGCAACTTTATTAATAACGCCTAATATTGGCACTGTCATGTCATGGTGACGTAAGAGAATCCATCACAATGTGACGATGCTGTCACCTCCCGTGAGTTGAGATTTCACTTGTCTAGTATTTTTTAGTAATTTCCCGATCTTCAGTTTTTCACCCACGTTTAAAATCCCATCTCTACAGTGGGCGTAAGAATAGACAAGGAGCGAAAGCGAAAGGTCCGGAAGATCTTGTGGCCTCTTGCGGCCTAGTACATATAACCTTCTCTAGCGTGCGCTTAAGCTAAGGTTTATACAATATAATATACAATATTTAAAAATAGTGACGAGAACTGAGGCGTTTGGTTCAGTGTTCTCCAATCAGCTTGTCATGCTTGGACATTGTGTCAAATATGGCTAAGGTCCATCTACATACAGCCTAAATTTTCAAGGGACCCGGCCAAAATCGCAACTTCAGCGGGAAAGCGTGTTATGCGTGATAGGGAAAATAAAACATATCATTTACAAATTTTGTGTAGGTATTGAATTATAGGTATATAGTACGTGAGGGTAGTATAGTCATCCTGTTAATATGGTCACTTTCTTATAACTCCAAAACTACAACCTTGTTTGCATAGATGGCTCTGTGATACGATAGCTCTGAGTAGTGTAGTTAGTTTTTTGAGTTGATTTTTCAGTGTTCTTAAATATTACCAAGGCTTATTTTTTCTTAATATATAAATTTATAGTATACGACTTTGTGTTCTGTCTCTGTCCTCCTCCTTTTTTTGGTTTTATAGAGCGGCAAAACTTAAGGTGACCTTATTACCCTCACGTACCTTATTTATACATTTGTTAGAAAGGTATAATATCAGTAGTGTATACAAGCTTATAAGAATTTATTTATGAGGTTATCCGGGCAGCGTTTAGTGCATACAAATGAATTCCTCAGTTGTTTTCCCTAGATGATGACACTAGAGCAAATGTGTTTACGATACAATCTATATTTACCACTGCCATGTTTCGTTTTTTCTATAAATCAAGTATAATAAAAACTGTGGCTATGTTTGTATCTCTTTCTTTTATTTTTATATTCGTTATGTTGTTTGCAGGAATCTGTCAAACAGAGGAGGTGTAACTGGACAGATTTAGTAATTTTAAAAGATTCATAATAATCTTTCCTATATTGTACTTGAGTAAAAATCGGTCCGGTTTTGGTGATGAAGCAGGGCAATACGGGTGATGATTTTTATTAAGTGTAATCCTAAGGTATAGGCTGTGTTCCTATATACACTGTGACCACTGTAAGGTGTGACGTCAATTCAGTATGCTGTGAAGCCGTCCCTTTTTATAAAGTTTGCTAATACATATATAGTTTGCTATACTGGTTACTGTTTAAAACGGAACGTGGACCAGTATACTGTCATCCCCATTAATACACTGTTTTCAAATGAAAATATTTATCATGTACACGTTTTCTGTTCAACAAGAAAAACTATTACTTGAATGTTGTTGCTTTTAAAACTTTTTTAAAGAGTTTTAATTAATAATAATAACAGTCATTAGTGGAAGCTGTTAAATCTCTAGGCGCTGTTATGTATTGATTATGTGATTAAAGTACTGGGAGCACATTACCTCGAAAGCGCCAGTGCTCATAGTACAAGAATGGCGGTGATTTATGACGTCATATATTTCCCTAGGGTACTGCGGCAGTATACTGGCAGTCCATAACGGAACGAATTTTTCACTAGTGAGAGCACTGAGCAGTGCTCGCAGTGTATAGCGGAACACATATTTATAATCAGTTCGAGCTGCAGTTGTCTTGGTTAGTCGTTGGGGAAACAGCGATAGATCGTTGAAACCTATTCTTAAAATTTCTTGCAGTCCATATATCGTTTTACTCTCTTGCACTATTTAATAATACCTAACATTAGTATAGTCTCCTTTTACAAACTTTTTTATTCTCAGATTACAGTCCCTATATCTAAACGTCTAAGAATATTCCGTGACTTGGCCTTTACGCAGTAAGAAAGTTATAAAATATTCTAGACCTTAACTATAACAGAACATAAGCGTGCAAATAGAATATTTAATCTTCGTTTTTAATTAATAAAATGTTGTTAATTGAAATAATTAAATTTTAAAGACATTTAGCTTTTTTCTTTTATCGATTTTAAAAACATCAAGTCTTGTTAAATGTTAAAAGTAAAATATTAGTAAATTAACAATTTATAAACGAGACACTGCTGCATTAATACAATGTTTATTATTTAAAAATAGAAATCTTTCATTGGCATTCTGTAAAATCTTATGTTACGCTGTTGGTCTTATAAATAAATAAATAGATACTACGGGTAACGTGCCTCCTATTGTTTCTGAGAGGATTTGGAAGATCATACGTGGTAGAGCCACGCTACATCTATATTATGGTTGTAGTATGAATAGCTCGACCGGGGAAGGAATACTAGCGTGAAGTAGTAGCTGTGTTTAATGTGTGTAGAGAACCGGAAACGAGGCATTCCATCTTAGTCCTTGGGAATGACAACCCATCTGCATTTTGACTCTTGATCGAGGGTAGATTTAGATATCTATGGGTCACAGCATCCACGTACCATCAGGTGGACTGTGTGCTATTTTGTCATCTTATACTATTAAAAAAGGGGTTATGCCGCATGCCCTGATGCGTGGTTCCGGTTTACTTGAAATCAGAGGTTTCTGTGTTTTAAATTGCGATTTCACAATTTACATACATTCCAGTGATCATTATGAACACTGCTTTGGCATTTAATGCAATACCGCTTTGGCGGTTTGAGGTTAATCGATTTTGTTGCATATCTGTATGCCAAGTGTAGCTGTCAAAAATTTACTTAATATTGTATTGACTAAAGAGCTTATAAGCACGTTAACATTTAGGATCATAGAAACTTTAACGTCATTTATAAATATAACCTATTGCTTTATAAACACGTCATACTTATGGTTTTTAAAAAGATCTATAGAAATCGCCAGCAATTTGATTGTTAAAAATACGAATTATTAAAAATATGCATTAAAATACACAGACCGATGACGAGAGTCAAGGTCTATTGTGCGAGTCTTCTACAATACGGTAAAGTCAAAATTCGTCTGCTCACCCTGCCAATTACCGTAAACCTGCCGTAATAAGGGACAGGCTCACGTTCGGATTATGTACAAAGGCGTAGGCGTTTAAGAAGCTCTCGGTGAATAAAAAAATAAGAAAATACACATTATTATAAAAAACATTTATTTCTTACATTACCTGAAATTCGATAATTTATTTCGTGTAATTGTAATTACAACATAGGTAATTTTTCGGCTTCGCTGTTTTTAAATAAGTAAGTCTCTAAATCTAGTCGAAGGGTATTCACGCGAACGCCCGTTAGCGGTCGCCATTCGCACATCTGAGGAATGGATCACAAAACACTACACAGCGAGGCGCCGCGGGCGGAACGCGCGTGTCGAGGCACTATGTCGACACACGCCTACCGCCAAATGCTCTTTCACCACTAATTTAAGATTTGGAAGCTTTGCTTCCCTTTTTGTCGGTAACCTCCGACGAATCTTTCTCTACACTGTCGCTTTTCTTTTCGTTGCTTTCAGCGCTCTCTTCTGAGCTGCTCGATGACGCATCACCCATGGGTTTCTCTTCGTTCTGTGTCGGTTTTGCTTCAACTTCGCTTATCTTTGGTGCTTCCGCCGGCAGAGGCTGAGCGACGGGAGTTTCTTTTACTGGTTCGCTCATTACAGACGGTTCTTCGGGTTTTGAGGCCTTAATTTCCGGCTTCTTTTCGATTTCGCTTTCTTTTGGGGCTTGAATTTCCGTTGCAGACTTAGCAACTACTACAGGTTCTGGAGCCTGTTTGTCGTCGACAGTATCGCGAACTACTCTTAGAGGGTCATCAACAGAAGGTGCGCTTACGTCAGCAGATTTAGCCACGGCAGGTTCAACTTTGGCATCAGGGGCTGGTACATCAGCGGATACGGCTTTCTCCTCTGTTTTAGGTTCAATGGGTTTGTTTTCTTCTGTTAAACTTGTTTTAGCTGCGGGTACTGAAGAACTTTCTTCTTTCTTGTCTTCTGCAACTGGTTCAGCACTCTTTGTTGTCACAACAGGCACCTCTGCCTTCTCAGCTGGGGAAAGGGCAGCAACATCAACAACATCATCAGCGACGGCGGCTGGAGATTTAATAGCTGCTACAACATCAATTGTTTCAGTTTTAGAGTTTATTACATATGGCGCTTCTTTGACTTCTACTACTTTAGCATCGGAGACCTGTTTAGGTTCCTCAACAGCTGACTTTTGTTCAGGCTCTTCCTTTTTTTCTTCAGGCTTTTCCTTTTTTTCCTCAGGCTTTTCCTTTTTTTCTTCAGGCTCTTCCTTTTTTTCTTCAGGTTTTGCCTCTGATTGATTGTTTTCCGGTTTAACCTCAGATTCAGCCTCCACTGGAGCTGCTAACTTAGGTTCAGGAACTTCACTCTTAACCTCGGGAGTGACAATAGCTACAGCCGCTTCTGGTTTGGCCTCTTCGGGCTTTGATTCTACAGGTACGCTTTTGAGTTCCGGTTCTTGCGGTTTTACAACTTCTTTGTTTTCAATTACTTGTTCAGGCTTACTCTCTTCGAGAACTGTAGTATCAGCTTTGATTTGAGGTTGCACTTCGTCAGGTTTTGGCGCCTGAACCGATTCAGACGCAACAGGTGCTACAGGTGCCACAGGTTCTACAGGTTTTTCCTCGGCGACTGGCATCGCCCGTGTCATAGCCGCAAAGGCCATGCATATTATTAAGACCTTCATCCTGTAAAGACAAATAATGTTATTAGTGATTTGACGGAATAATCGCTGAGAAAATACCGTAGATAATATAGCATGCAAACAAAACGTGAATAAAGTAAGGCCAATGTTACGCGCCGTCGGCCGGCTTCAACGCTTTGCTGTAATTTTCCTATTAAGGCTGAATCACCTAAGGGCGCTCGTCCGAAGAGGCTACCCTTGTGCCAGTCATATCGAATTAAAGTTAATTTAAATAAATAGGATGCACACTATTGTTGATGCATTGCATATAGACTATCCTTTGTTTTAAGTTTCAATAAAAGTGTACGTAGTTTAATTTCAAAGTAATATATAACTAAAAATAAATATATTATTTTATTCTGTATATGTCGTTAACGTTAATGATACTCATCACATCAACAATCCATTAAGGCAGACGGTCGTAGAACCCGAACAGTCTATTTATAGAAAACGTGCTGGAGGTAAGGCATTTAAGGCGATATCCCAGGTCCTGTTGGAATGCGGTCTGGCGCCGGTCCACAAATAGAATAGTCTATTTACATAGTTCGATATAAATTTTTCTTGAATTAAATTTCTTACTCCCGCCTATTATCTTTTATGGCTAAAATAGTTATCATGATGCTACTAGCGTAAAATATTATTTATTTAATCATATCGTTAATCTTGGTGCGTTCTGTATAAAAACGACATACTATTTAGTTATAATGGTAATTACATTGTTCTTATAACGGACTATTTATTACATATTTATTTTAAAAAAATGGAACAAATAAAACAAATTTAAACAAAATAATAAATTTTGTGAAGTTATAAATACAGGGGAAAAACAATAAATAAGAAACAGAAATTATAACAGACTACAAAGTCCACCCAAGTTGGACACTTCCTACCGCGTGCTTGGTTGGCAGGATGCGAAACGCGCGTTAGTAATATGGATGATCCGGCCAGACGTCCAGCACACATTATCTGAATTTTAATTGGCTAATTGAATAGAATCAGCTACTAGAATGCAATAGATGCCATCACATGCGTGCGTCATTCTCAGAGGCGTACACACACGTTTTAAACAACCTCTCGTTTATTGTTGACTTGTGATAGTTTTGGTGTATCTCATGATCACCTTTTTATAGGATGAGGGTGACAAACAAGCACACAGTCCACCTGATGGTAAGTGGTTGCTGTGGCCCATAGACATCTACATTTATCCTCGTTTGCGAATCAAAATGCAGATGCGTTGTCACCCGTGAGGACTAAGATGGAATGCCTCTTTACCAGTAAAAAGGGTCTCCGGTTCTCTACACTCACCATACGAAACACAGCAGTGTTAAGCTGCCATTTTATGCTGGTATTCTGTGAGAGCGTGGTCATTCCCCGGTCGAGCCGACCCATTCGTGCTACAACTATACTACTAATATAGTTACAGCATGGCTCTACCACGTAGAACGTTTTACAAAACACTGTAATATACGTTTTTAATTAAATAAATTGTATTGTGTTAAATAAAGAAGTTTGCATTAAAAATATAATGTATATTAACTATGTGAAATTAGTTTTGTAAGTTCTATTGTTTATTTGGTAAAAGATGGGCTGAAATTGAGCAGTCCCTGATATTCCATTCAACGCAATCAGCGGTTCCCAATAAGTATATAATCACTTTCGTAACTGTGGTCCGATGTGGCATTGCTCAATTGTTACCTGTTATTACACCCGACCTGTTCTTACGAGAAATAAAGGTCATTTGAGTTGTTTATCATCTCTGCATCTCTTAATGAATACACCTTGTTTCCTGTGGTGTCTTTATGACAATTGTTTATTATTATCTATATGATTTCAGTACCTCGGTGGTCTAGTGATCGTAAACACGTTTGTTGATTATGTGATCCCGGGTTTAAATCCCGGGTCGAGCCAAAAATCAGGTATTGCGTTTATCTGTCAAGAAATTCTCAGTAGCAGGCCTGAGTCAGGAATGTAGCGGGGTTTGACCTCCGTGCCTCAGAAAGTATGGTACGCCGTCGGTTCTGCACTTGATCTCTCTCTGCTCGTGTAGAATTAGCCGTCCTATTGGACTATGCGAGTGAGGGAATAGATAGTGAACGTGTGCTTGCGCATACACTTGGGCACTATAATCGTGTCCTGTGCAGATGGCTAGTCTGCCGTTGAGACCGCCGTGACCGAAATTCGGTCTGGAGGACATTATTATTTGATGCGTTTTAAAAATATTAGTAAAAAAATTATGTAAAATATTATAAAACAAGTCGTACACAAATTTAAAGAAAATCCCGGAACCTATACTCTACGTAACTTTCCGAACCGAATCCTAAGCAATCGTATATTTTAATGTCCTCTACAACTTCATTCATAATAAGACGAACGAGCATACAGTCCACCTGATGGTAAGTGGTTGCTGTGACCCATAGACATCTACATCTATCCTCGATTACGAATCAAAATGCAGATGCGTTTTCAGCCGTCACGACTAAGATGGAATGCCTCCTTTCCAGTAAAAAGGGTCTCCGGATCTCTATACTCACCATACGAAACACAGCAGTGTTAAGCTGCTATTAGCTGGTATTCTGTGAGAGCGTGGTCCTTCCCCGGTCGAGCCGACCCATTCGTGCTACAACTATACTACTCATATAGCTACAGCATGGCTCTACCACGTATAAAAAAATTTAAAATATATCTGTGTATATTAAAGATATTCTTAACGTCTACATTGTGCTATAAAAACGATAATGTATCAATGTTTAAGAGATCGTTCGCGAATTATTTTCTGGAAGGATATCCTCGGAGCGGTCTGAGGGCAAGGATTGTCGCCTTCCCACACGTCGTCGACTCGGCAATCTTTCAATTGAAGCGTAGCGCATGCCTGCCTACCTCGTTGTGCCAATCAAAAGATATGCCGGCAGCCAACATTTAATACTTATATGGATAGGAATATGGTGCTTTTCCACATAATACCCCTCGCAAGAAGAAGCATTGATATTATCATTCATAACACTATTAATTTTTTATGATTCATCGTGCCTATACACAGCAGTGATCTTGTAACGGTCTGTAATGATTATAATAATGATTACAAAAGTTCTAGTAACATTTCTGTAGCAACATTTAGTTTTCTAAACATTTCGTTTCGATAGAATATAGACTTAGTTCTAACAAAGCAATATCTTTTATGTTTACTTATTATGTAGGTCTTGCAAAATCTAATATCTAGCAACGTTTATTTTAACAATCAAGTGCTACGGTCGAACGATTGCATTTGCGAAATGCACATATTTGTCTCTAAGTTTCCCTTGACCATAACCTATAAAACTGACAAATTGCCTCTCGTGATGTGTTTGAAATCAATAAATGTTATTCAGACCAAGGGTTAAGGTGTAAGCACTACCTGTACAATAAAAACTTCAGATTTACGGCATTCTATGCGAGTGAATACTGAGAACAGAAGGAGTCGGCTTCTACTTTTTATAACAAGACTTCAATATAAATAAAATGAGAACATCATCAATGTAGTTGAAGTCAATTAAATACGCATTATGAAGGATAACTCAAAAAATACTGGTCAGATCTTGATCAAAATATGGGATCACACAAGAAGCACTAGCTTGCAAATAAAAAAAGAATTCTCAGAATCGGTTCACATAGAAAAAGTTCTGAGGTAACACACATAAAAAATACAGTCGAAATGAGAACCTCCTCCTTTTTTTGAAGTTGGTAGAAAAGTCTCATTTTTCTCCTTTTGCGTATTAAAGAATATCACAACCTCAATGTCGTCTAAATAGTTGCATTAAAAGCAATTCATTTCCTATTTTCCATCCTTAGGTTTAAAAAATTAGAATTTAAGAATTTAGAGTGCAAATTACAATAAAAAATGAATGATTCATAACCACAAAACATATGATCACAGTCTCTTATTTTCAAATCAGCTCAATTACATTGCAGTAATTCAGCAGTGTCCTTTAGAATCAAGAAACTCATCCAAGGCATAGTGTAATGTCGTGACTACTCGATGGTGCAATTACGTATTTACCATATCTCAAGCAAAGTTATTCTACGGTGCATACACCAGAGAAACAACGCCATATCATATTTGTATTGGACTCACGTAGTATGAGACAATTTGTTCCCATATTTATTTCTAGTGTTTTACAATTGTTTAAATCGCATAATCACGATTGTCATTATGTTGATCTTAAAGGAAAAAATAATGTGTGCCTACGAACAAGCGCATGATGTTTTATCGGTTAATGGAAGTTTTTCTTCTATCATCCAGGAAATTGCGTCATTAAAAATAAGGCTCTCTGTATTGACGATATGCATGTCTAGCTTATGTTACCTGCACAAACCACCCTATAGAATAGAATAGAATAGAATTAATTCTATATAAACACATTAATACATAGAAACACTATTAATATGTAGGATATGTGATGTTTCTTAATTACATTTCACTCGGATTTTGTGTATCATATGTGCTGTATAAATACATGCCATTTAAAAGTTCGTAGTGTCTGTGAGTATTCGACCATGACAATAAAACTATAGCTTTGAATATTTTTATATTGAAACTTCAGAGAAACTAAATGCACGGAACTAATGGACCTAATGTATTATACCTCAAACATGTGCAAAAATATGTAAACTGTATATTAAATTTTAACTATTCTTGACAATAACATATATAAAATATATTCGTATGCACTATGCAATCATTCCGTTAGTATTACAAAGAAGTCTTCATTAAATTGGAACTTACATTGAATTTAAAGAGTTGTAAGTAATTAAATTGGATACGTATTCTGACATTAAAATTCAGCAGAACGTACGCTACTTTATTTGAGATGCGGCCACCTAGATTTTATAGATCCCCGTGTTTTTTTTAAACCACTGGTTGTAAAATTAGTAAGACGTTTTTCGAACCGTTGCTTTCTTTGTAATGCCAGCAACTTTCAACTGAAGCTCATCTTTAATTTATATTTATGCTAATAATCATTTTAACGT